ATTGCGACGGACAGCGACCACGGACAAGTTTGAATTTGACGTCGAAAACCACCAGGTCACTAAACAGACTGTTCGTATCGGTTACGTTCAAATCTTGACCGTCTGTACCAGCCGACTGAATACAGTTGAACAGCCATATTTAGCCTTTGAATCCATCGATTGCTAAATGAAGAAACAATTAATTTCAAGCTATACATTTACGCCAACAAATGCGGTAAATAATCTCGAATGTAATTTAAAAATTGATTTAATGTAATTTGAAACAATAAAAAATATGATATTATAAGCACTTAACTTCAAGTGAATTTACATGTTCCCGAGCTCTCTATGCAGTTGTTTACAATTATTCTTGTCATTACAGGTTTTGGCCAAATACAGTAAACAGTGACTTATGACTAGAGAGCCTCTTACTTCATGTAAGAAATGTGTTCAGTAGAGAAACTGATGAACGTTTTACCAAACGATGGTAGTTCGGTATTGAGACAGTTAATATGTGTACTAGTTAACACTTGATTTTGTTCAAAAGTGAACAAGTGACACTGTTCACTTCGTTTAAATGCCGACACTTTTAAATTCAAGACAAAGTGACAAAAATAAGGAGAGGTTTGGAGAATTAAAGGTCCCGTTACCCAGTCTTTCGGTATCTCCCCCATTTTTTTTTCTCTCTTCGCTATTATCCATAAAGGTGGTCGGCTTCGTATGTCATTACAGCCAAGAGAACTGAATATGAAAGAAAGTACGAGTTAGAAACGCAACTGGTTCATCTTTTCTCACATCGAAAAATTGGTCCAGATGTCCTGCTCTTGCAGGTGAATGAAGCTAAAACTGTGGGTAACACGCACTTTTGTAAAAACGTTATTTGGTGACGATTGCACGTTTTCCCTACTACATCTGTTACGAAAGAAGACATTGCCGATCTTACAAGTTCTTATTCAGCATTGTTGTTGATGAACTAGCGAATTCATGGTAACGATAGCTTCTCTTGACCTATTCATTTTTCTGAGCATTTCCATGCTTTTTTTTTATTATAGTTAGGTCGCTGAAAAAAGTCCTAGTTTGATATGGAAGTGACTTCCTTAAGAAAAGGCACTATTGGAGCATTGATGACGTTGTAATAGGGAGTCAGAGTCCTTTTGTCTAATCACCACCGACGATTCATCCTTTTCCGGATGTGGACTAGTTGAAGGTCGTCTCATTGTATGCGCTTCACTTCTTTCACCTTTACCTTGTTCGTCGATCAGATCATGTCCAGCTTCTGAATAACGTAAATGAATGCGTGGAGCAGCGGTAACCATTTGCGGTACACAGGACACGAACGGTATTGCTCTAATGAAGCAGACTTCATCTATTTTTTAAAGAGTACAAGATTATGTCTGGTTTCTGCTTAACGCAAATTGTGTGTGCAAGAGAATTGAGCAGTTCGGGTACACAAGGACGGCATTACTCCAATCATGCAATCATCATCATTTTTTTGAATGGTTACAGTCGACCTCCAAATGAGCGTTAGGTGAACCTTACGCCCACCTGCAGTAATATATCTTCAGGTTTTTTTTAAACCGAAAACGAATTGCAACCACTATACTGTGAAACCATGAGGAAATTTTTGAATGGTCTTACAAGACTTTTTCGACTAATGGTTTACACCACAGCTCCCTCTTCTGGAAGAAAGGGAAAGAGAATATGTGGAATTAGGCAGGAAAGTTAAATTTCGAGTTCTAGGCGCACAATTTAATCAGATTTTTTGAGGGAACTTTAATTTTCCTCCAGTTAACAAAGACTTGTTGATGTTTTGAGAAAAAAAGGACAGGAACTACAAAAGTATTTGTTGAAAATTAGTACGGACTCGTTTTTGCCTAGAATGAAATAGTTTAGTGGTGCGATGACCTATTCGGTTGTCCAGATGTTTATCATGTACTTTTTAGGGATAAACATGCTTTAAAGCTTGTGACTGAACTAAAAAGTGTACATAACCGCACACTGAAGTGAACATAGCGGCAATAATGAACGCGTAGTCAGAAAAATTTTTGAAGAGATAAATAAGCACTTAGAATCGTTAAAACATTTAAATGTTAAACAAGGATACCATACGTGCATTTTTATTTGTTATTCTCTTCCTACCAAATGACACATTTTCATAATTTCAGATGCTGAAAACGATTAGCAAATGATCCATGAAAGGCAGAGAATGGAGATAGGAAGGCGATAAGAAACACAATACTGGGCAAAAGAGAAAAACTGTTCAATTCACCACTATGCAAGAAAACGTCTTTGAAACAAGTGTTGTTGCCGAAGTGCAAAACGTTTTAAGCCGTACCTACAGTTTCAAAGCCTTTTTTCTCCTCAAAATTTTCTTGCGATCTAATCATCAGAGTTCACTTGGAGGCTTAAGTGATTGCTCCATATGAGACAAAAAAAATAAACTGGGAGAAAACCGACAAGTAGTATAGAGGAAACCTAATTTCTGGAAATAATTCGCTAAGGAGCACTTCCATTGCACTTTGTAGTTTTTTCGGATGTAAATTGCTGTAAAAGCAGTGATTAAAAGGCTACTGAATGTCCGGTTTTAGTAAGTGCTTCCGAATACCTTAAAAAGACGAAATATAAAGCTCTGGGCGCTGTTCTATCCCTGCTGAGGGATGCGCAATGCATTCGACTTCCTTAAGTATCGTTTGGAAGTGATTGAATGCATATCTGGGCCTCACGGCTTCACAATGACTTGCAGTGGCCTACCGATGTATCGAGCCAGTGCTGTTACTCTCCCAGACAGGCCTGGTACCAGTTCGTCGACCCCGAAGGGATGGAAGGCTTTGTTGGCCATGGGCGCGGAGATCGATTTCACGTGTATGTTGCAGTGCGCCTCCGACCACTTCGCCACACACACCCTCTGATTACCTTACTTCTACATATGTTACAAAGATTAGCATGATATTATTGCATGAAGGTGATACTAATCAAGCATTAAATCGTAGCAAAGTAAAAAAGAATACTAGTAGAACCGCATGGTTTAAAGCTAGCAGGAAAACGATCTCATCAAGAAAGATTTATTGCTAAGAGTGATGACAGAGAACGTGTGAAAAAGAAAGAAGAACAGAATGGTGTCCATCGAATATGAAGAAGGCGCGATAACTGCAGCGGATCACAGATGACATCAATGCGTTATCATAAGGTGCTCTTCAGAATGAAGTATCTAAAAAAATGAGAAGAGCACTGCAATTTCAAAAGCTTTCTCGTTAGCGAAAAGCGATCGTATTTCCTTTCAAGATAAAAATCTGTTGCTTACTTGTACTATTTTCTTCGAACGCTAATTATTCATTGTTATTCGTTTCATTGTACAATTAAGGGCGTCAAATATATCATCCTTAATTGACAGCTTTTAGCCATGTCCTCCCTATTTGGTGCCACCTTAGATGATCGTGAGCGACAATCAGATAAAATTCATCCTATAGATGGTTTGATGAAAAGCTACATGTTACATATGGACTACCGTGAAAATGAAGACATCCTTAACATATGTGTTATATTCTTCTTCTATTTCAATACATACGGAAGATATCCTAGTTTAAGCTCTTCCTAATAAAAATGGATGTATTTGTATATTTAAAGGCAGACATTCACCCATTTCATTTTCAAATAACACTTTACGTTAATTAAAGCTTTGTATAATAACAATATTGGTCAAATGCACATATTACGATGATGCATGTTGACAAGATGTTGTACTCTTATCGTATCTTCGACACTTCTATTCATGCTATTACCTTATCAGATACTATAAATCTATTACGACAGAAGGAATAATTGCGGTACGGTAATCATGAATGAATGGTGCAAGTAGAGCATATACAGACTGTGTACATCGTCATTACAAGAAAGGTCACAGGAAACATCATCATTATCCGAATTTGGTCCTCGAACTTAATGGTTCGATGCGTGGTGGTAAGAGCGTGAAGGGAAAGGTATGCACAGTGTACCACCAATATTACTAGCTTTTGCAATAAATATCAACACAGACATCTTGTTTGTAATATTTTTACAGTGCCAGAAAGAAATGTCTTCTATGAGCAGTACTCGACACGCCGTCTCTGGAGTCCGAGCACACTACCTGTTCAAAATGTTACAATTGAAATCTTTTGGGTACAGTGCTCAGATACTGCTAGTATAAGCAATTTTTTCTGGTATAAACGTTTTATTCTATTTTGCTATTTCCAGTCACATCCTTTCTCATTTACGCACAGAATTCCACAGAGCATAAAACGTTTCGTGGCAGGTGCTTCACGTTTATCGTGTGTAGTGACACGCTCAATGTCGTGTTGACACCCAACTATGTTATCGTGCAAAACTCGTTGCATACAACAATATTTATAGTCGATTATAATGGTGAAAGCAAATTTTATTCAGCCTTGCGAATCACATCCGAGAAACTTTTCGAAATCAACTGAAAAACTGCACTCCTTCGTCATAAGTGCCTTGTTTACTTGAGACCGAAGAAGACTTTCTACAAGGCAGAATTTGATAGTGGCCCTCGTATCTCAACGAATTCTGTGTAAACGCATAAGTATAGTCGGAAACGTAACTTTGAGCGCATACGAAGTGAAAAAGTTATGTTATATACTTATTGGTAAAGCCCCACCTCTTCTAGTAGTATGGCTTTACCAATAATAGCATGGTTATAAACGCCAGGTGGAAATCCACATCGTTATACACATTGCCAAAGGTGCTAAGTGTTTCCTTTTCTCACCGATAATGTTGTCGATAGAGTGCAATAAAATGTTGATAACTCGACTATTTCACCAGTTTCACCAGTCATCGGTTAACGTGTAGGATTTTTTCTCTGGTGTTTTTGTTGAAGATATCATAGATCAGACGCGAAGAATTGGCGAAAATCATAGCATAACATTCTGAGCAACAATATTTCAAGCCCTTTGTCCGAACAATTAAAAGCTGCTTTGTCTGTGTACGTGAGGCTTAGGATAATATTTTATAAGTGGATGGTAAGCGATTTAGAAGGCGTTATATACCCAATTAAAGTCGTCAGCATAACCGAGTAGTGTTTTTGATTTCCTGTGACCACCAGCAACGAGTGGAGTATGCTGGAAGGAAAATAGTAAGTAGATCGAATATCGCCAATTATTTTGAACAGAACTTCGATATAAAGGAGTAAAAATTCTGGGCTACTTACTCGCTGCGTGGCAGCGCTTTGGATCTTCAGAATCATGACATCGTTACGAATAAGAAGACGCCAAGGAATCCGACTGAATGGAATCACAAGTGATGACATAGATCCAGGTGTATATGACACATTCGTACCAAGAAACGATACCAACGTCTGAAATATTTCCGACACTTACTAATAATCTGATTTCACTACTAAACACCACCAAACTATTTTTCTCTTGATAAAAAATATAAAAAATGGTTTATTTTAAAAATCAAAATATCAGCTCTACCACCTATGTTCCATTAGTTAACGAATACCTCAGCAGGGTCCTGGTAAATGTGTCGTTTGTTCTTGCTGAGCAATGGAGCTTCCTTGTTAGTGTCGCTTTCTCGAGGGACACAAAGAGCATAAAACTTTGCGTGGGAGACCAATTTTTTAAACTTTCTTCTGAGAACTTTCTTCTGATTACTTATGATTCGTTAACTATGCAAGTGGCTTAGGAAGAACTTCTTTAACTGTTCCGGAATAGACTTGATGTTAAGTTGTTGGAAGGTGTTCTAACTCGCTTATCACGTACTTGACAGTTATGTACAGTCTTTCGAAAAGTCGACAAACTGTAAAAATCGGCAAGAAACAAGTAAATTCAGCATATATAATCTTAACCCTTTTATTTACTGCCTTTTTCTTTTTAATGACAGGGTATGTTGCGAAATATAACTCGTATATAATGCTGAGATATTTGCAAAACTTCGGACCGCAGGTGCATGCGGTGGAAAACGAACACGCGCTGTTGTCCTTGCCGGGGAGCAGCGCACTTCACCACCACACCATCCGGGTCCTTCGTTTTGCCTGTATCTCAGCTAGCAAGGCGAAGGACCCGGATGGTGTGGTGGTGAAGTGCGCTACTCTCCGGTAAGGACAATAGCGCGTTCGTTCCCCACCGCATACACCTGCGGTCCGAAGTTTTGCAAATATCTCAGCATTATATATCAGCATATATAGCTGAATACAATTGAACGCTTATGAAAAGCACAATTTAGTCGGATGTGGTGGAGACTCTGACCTTATCCCTTAAATCCATATACTTCTTATGATAGAAGCATATCGCGGTTGCGCGTCCTAGTTTAATCTCTTACTGCCCCTACCTCAGTGCCTTCCACGCAGATTGGGCACTAAAAAGCTCAGGAACTGTCATGTGAGAAAGATCTTTCAAGTAAAGTACAAAATAATAATCTATTTCTTAATTAACCACCACTACTCGACTTCATCAAACATCGTATAGGTGGCGGCTGGATGCGGGTTTGACCTGCACATGACTTGCGATAGGCTACTGACATGAACTCAGTTTTTCTATCCTTCTAGACTGGCTTCACTTTTGTGACCTTTGAAGGATAGGAGGCTAGGTGACTCTAGGCTCATTATCGAATCTTTTTTCCACTTTGTCTTCATTTCCAACCCTGTGACTTTTTCGAAGAATATTTTACATAATCATTTGCATTCAATGTGCTGTCATTTCCCGGAAAAGCAAACGTGTAATAAATTAGGATAATAAAACGTGTAATAAAACAGGCAGGATGGAACACATTGTAATTTCCTTATATTGCTCACGATTTAAAAAATTGGAGAAAATGAAAGAGAATTTACAACGGATTGGAAGCAAATCAATACGCACTAAGTTCGTTCGGTATTTTAATTTCCATTCATCGCCAAGCAAACAAACTTCTTTAACATGTGACAGAACGAATTCGGTTTCGTTCCGTTTCACCTTTTTTTGTGCAAGCGTCGAACCATCTAGAGCGAGCATAGAACCATTTGCACACACTTTCGAGACTACATACGTTCGTAAAAGATTTTAAAACAGTATGAAATCTCCCTCCTGTTAACGTTTACCTTCTTATCGTAGCTTGGAGACGTTTCTGGGTGTCGGGCTGCGATGTACAGCGGGGGTATTCATTGACCCAGCAGGGCCTCCGAAGCTGAGAAGAAGTCCGTCGTCTCCATCAGGAAGTCCAGCTGAGAATAAACCAGTATCAGGAACGAATACCATCCTCGTATCAAACAAGTCGCTTGGTGGTAAATCTCGCTATGATCCACAAAGGCTGAGGCTGCTTGTGGTAGCTATGACCTGGAGCAGATTTTCGCCAGGCTGTATACCGGACTGCTGGGAACCACAATAGCTAGACCAGCAAAGTTCGAAAAAATGGAAATTATGCTGGGTTCCGCGCAACCAGTGAAGACGGGCATCCAAGTATCCACTTCTCCAAGTGTGAAGTCTCACTGGCTATCACTGATGATGTCTAATAGGTGTTTGCATCGGTACGTATTTTTCTCAACGATTCAATTTCATAAATTGATGTTATTAAAGCTGCTTACTGGTCATTGTGGAGATGGTGAACATATCGTAAAACTACTGAGGTACTAAAGCAGACTAACTGTGTTGGTTGTTTTTACTCGCTTTAACTTCAAGTCCGTTGTCGGCATATTCAGTATCCACGCATAAATGATCGTACTGCCTTCCATTTGTGGATTGAAGAGTCGATCGAAGCGTAATTTACTTGAATTCAGTTTCGATGTATACCTGGAAAAGAACGGAGGCCTATTGCTTTCTCACAAATAGCTACCACAAAATACTAGAATATACCAAACGTTTCCTGTATCGTTTTGATATATCCATGGTTTTGTATTGTAAATGGCTTCAGAATTAACGTTAATAAATCTGCAAATAAAAAAGTGACAGGAAAACAACAATAATCTTAAAAAGGGAAAAATCGATTGCAAATAAAGTTCAATAGCGAGCGTCTAACCCATCGCTTAGCGGGTCACCTTGTTTATTAACGGTGTCCTAAATTGCTCACTCATAAGTTTAAGCGGAGAGTTCCTAGGTAGTACGAGCCATAACACGTTTGTTCTTCTCCTTCGTTATTATCGTCTTCGTTGGTGGCCTTCTTCGAATGCAGCGGCTTGCATGAATATCATTCCGTCAACTGCAAAGCATTTCCAACAGGGAGCATAGCTGATTAATGTTACAGCTACGAAGACGTACATCGTCGTATTGTAGGATGTCTGCCTAATCTCATGTGTCCCAGTTCTGAGGCTTACTTCATTCATTGTTCTCCTTACCATCCGTCATCAAATTTTCTCATTATATGATTGACCCGTCTATGTTTCTGTTTGAAATTATATTCCCACAAATTTTTCACATCATATCCTGCCGTGAAAAAATAATAATAAGCAGTAGATAAAAAGTAACCATTGTGTTTTCGACTATAGCCTCAGCCTAACTTGGTTTATTGCCCATTTTGCTCCCTAGGTACTTCTCGTTAATGGATGATTGCTGTTAGCATCAATGGCAGATATCTAGTGAGAGAATGGCAAACAAGAACTTCAGTGGGGCAGGGGAGTAGTACGTGAAGCCCCGAACGAGAACTCGCTGGTTCGAATCTGGCATGCGGTTCAAGTTTTGCAAATATCTCAGCATCATTGTGGTTGTATTCCTAAATATGTTGAAGATGGGCTAACTTTCGAAGTTTTAGACCATATAGCTCAGCTAGATTTTGTTATACCCATTATAATTGGGAAAGTGTTGTATGTGAGTAATGCGTGAAACCCTCGATGTTGCTGAAGTGTAAGCTCATGTCAGACCTGTAAGCTGAAGGTCTGAGAATTGCGTTGATCCGAACAAGTGAGAGCGTTTTGGAACTGTTAGTTGATCAGTGGGCTCTTCACGAAGCTAGAAAACAGCACATTCTGCTCTCCTTCTTCTGTATGAAACCAACATCATTGTTTTCAATATGAGGTCCTCCTAGTCAAGTAGCCATCATGCCTATGTATTTACCATCATATCATAGATTTGTCATGAATCAGGCTTTAATCGGACTTATGTGAGTACAATTTCTCTTCCCGCTTCACTCTGCTTGTGATTTATTAACACTGTTCGAGAAGACGAAGACGAAATGAAAATTTGATAGGAATTTACCACCATTGATTGCGATTGTTCCCTACTCCTTTCCTTTCAGTGTGGCGGTAAGCAGCTTTATCGAGATGAGGTAGCCTCTCGAAGTCTTTTCCTATAGGGATTGTATGAGCTCGGTAAAAGGGCAGCAATTTCAGTTTTGCTGCGGTAGAGTGAGCGCGGGGTTCTTATTTGAGATGTGTAAATTCTTTGTTCGACGAACACTGATAGAGTGGTTCCGAGGGTTCTATGCACTGGTTAAAAATAAAATCAAACGGAAGACTATATTTTTAACAAGATTTCTATAAAAACGGCTACGATTTGAATAGGTGTCCTTCATCAGAATCCCTGTAGAGTTCTGCGTGGTTCTTGAAAAAACTAGTATAATGTTTTGATGTAATTCACACACAATAAGCAAGCTGGATGGAATTTGTAAAGACACCTTAGTTCATGACAAGGTAACCGTGCCTGTGTTCTCTATTTCTCGGAAACCATTTCTCTCAAGTACACTTTGCCAAATGGATTGTGATAAACGCGCTTATTTTATTGGTTCCAGCCCAAAGGAAATCGGTAGGCATGTCTTTGTGGTGTTGGAGCAATACTACTTATTACGCTCTCTGTAGCCAACAGAGATTTATGAAAGTGGAATCCGAGATGTGTTTTGGAACGTCCGAAATCCGGTTTATGGAACGAATAATTTGAAATAGAAGTTCTTCTTTAGCATTATTATTTCATAATGGTAAGCCGTAGCAATCCGTTACTGCTCATCAGTTCTCGTTGTGAATTATTGCATTAAAGTGGCATAACTTCTCTTTTTTGTTGTTTGTTCTGTTGCGAAGCGTTATGTAAGATTTCCTGATGCTTACAACCATTACCAGGTCTCAGTAAGGTCGGCCTTCGGCTTTCTTTTCGAGCAAATCTTTAGTGATGATCGAAACGTGATTATTATCTTCTCGTTCAAGAAATGTAATCTGTTCGGCACAAATTTTGAGCCCTGTGACAGTAGAACACGTAATTTATGATCGATTCTTTCTTAAGAGCTTTCAGTAGAGTGCGATGGCTAACTCAGTGTTGCTGTCGTATCTTACCCACGATTAATTTTTGCCTTCCTTCAATAAGTCATCTTTTAAATTTTGAACGTTTACAGGAGCCTCTTCTTCGAGCTTATAGCTGCAGCAAATATTTTCACGCTAGAAGCTATAGAGTGAGGGCACGATGAAGCATTCACCGTTTTCTTTTTTCGAGGAGGATTACGTCGATCACTACATGAAACGTGCCGAAAAGTGATTCCCTTTTCCAACAACAACCATTCCTCAAAGGTGAACTCTAGAAGTATAACTGCTATCTACAGTAGTCTGGAAAAAACAATTCTGTTTTCGTTTCAGTGTCCTATTTCAGAGACATTTGGTCAAAGGATGCTTCACAGTCCTTTCAGAAAACTACCGACGTTCCTGCTTCTCACCTTTCGCAAGCAATCACTTGGAATTTCGCACGAACTCCACCATCGAATAGAGCACGACGATAGAAACAGAAGCAGACTGCTCCAATGTTATAGGATCGGAGCAAAAAATATTCTTGATAGGCTACTGTGAATGTGTCGTTTTGACTCAGTTCCACTTTTGCCCTATGCAAGGTGGGCCTTATCTCACCGCTATCTGATTTTATGGAAAGGCGCGCCCAGTATGGCGTGTATTGAGGCAGGTTTATTGCCGGACGAACAAGGCGCTGTTCGCTAGAGCCCCGACATGGCCTTCCTAGGGTGCTTCCAATCCGTCACTCCAAGCATACCGTTGCAAATCGCAATTAAATCTTTTGACAGCAACAATTTCTGCTTTTAACCAATTGATTCGGAATCTATGAGAACCCAGATAAACGTTGTTTTTGGATGACTACACTGCCTGATAAACAGAGCATGATTAACCATAACCATTACCTTCCAAGTTCACGTAGCCGATCCTCGAAAATGGCAGGTATTTTACCATGCATATCTGGACCAATGTTTAGTAGAAAATTTCCACCACAAGAAATTGTTCGTGCCAACTGTTCAATCAGAATGTGCACTGTGTTAACATCCGTGCTCTAAATGAAAATGAAGACATTCGCATATGCAAAGTAAACATACGCATACTTCGTTTATAGTTCTCAGATAAAGGATGATACGTATACGTTAATGACATTTCTAAGCAACTGCGATTTAAAAGTGTTTCAGAAGCTTCTTGGCTCTTCTGCTCTGTTCATGAGATTGATGTGGTATTCCGAGTGTTTAAAAATCCGCCGAAGAACGAGCTTCGAAACCTTAACATTTTACCACAGTTAAAGCTATATATAGGCTCGTCAACACGCACGTCGTAAGTCAAAACTAACACCTATACGTTGGATCTTCATTAATGATATGGAGTTCGCTGAATTATGGGGCTACTGTTACATATCGTGGTACGTCCAGGCTCTGAGAAAGCAGAATTCGTCAAAACATGAACCATTAAACAACGACAACAGCGACAATAATAAAATCTATAACAACCTCGCTTCAGCTAAACAAAGGCAGTTCGCAAGAGCATGTATATAAATCTATCGATTATTATTCCGAGATTTACATAAAGTCGATCTTTTGAGTCATAGCCAAAGCTTTCAACCACAAAGATGCTAAGATGTGGCCAAAACGCGGAACGAGAAACGCGTTTCGAACAGGCGATTACCCTTCGCAGACCCTTACGTGCTAATCACCACACCAACTGGTATCCCTGCCTTGCCTTTCTCTCAGCTATGTTTTTGCTCCACCAGTTCTATCAGCAATAATCATATCAACAGCAACTGCAAGTAATTATTTTCAAATTCAAGCCAACCTAAAGGCTGGAACTGAGTAAATTCCCTAATGACAGAATATCCCGAATTTCACGTCGTCATACCATTGTGGAAGAGGGCGAGCATCAAGCAAAGGCCATGTTGGCTTGAAGAGAAAGTATCAAAAACTTATTATTCTCAGTTGTTTGCTTATTTTGGCTTATCGTTTATTTATTTAGATATAAATAATGCCTGGATTATTGCATGACAGGTCATCAATAAGCGCACAACCTAAAGGTATTATTACCGGCTTCATCCTCTTTTGACGATCACTCAAGGAAGTGGTTTGCTTTGTGAAGAATTCTGTGAATATCATTCATTGAACTACTTCAGATACAGGTGGCTGTTGTGAGCTTCTCAGAAAGAGCTTAATTTCTGCTTTACTCTACTTCACTGCTCTTCGATTCTGCCTCTTTTGGGTTTCTCTCGCTACCTATTCGATCTGCGCTAAGACAGCCTTGTGTCCGATGAGGCCTTGTTTTCCACATTATAAGCTAGTATTTCATTGTGTATGAAGACAGCATTCTTGTTAACGATCGTAAACTGACAATTTCCATTGAGGAGTTTTTTTCAATAAATCGTTTAAACATTTTGTTAATTAATGCTGTTAAATCCCTGTCATTTTCCTGATGTGTCCAACTCTTCGATGGTAGTGTCAACTTTGGTGATACCTTTCTTACAAATTATGATATTATATAGACCATCGTCTGAGTTAAGCGTCTCCATTGATCACTGCGGTAGAACCTCGAACATCTTCATCAAAATGTGCCAATTATTCTTCCCGACAGGATCGATCTCTTAGCAATGGTGAAGCCTTGTTTTGCAACTGTGAGATAATGGTTGCGGGGGTGAGAGTTCTAATGAACATGCTTCCGATGAAACCTGTCAGGCATGCTATGCCCTTTAGCATTTGGTGTGAAAATGAATGGTTTTTAAAGAAGATAACTAAAGCAAAAATTTATATAGAGATTTTAACAAATTATTCTGAGATATACATAGTCTAGTAAATCTTGTTGTAAAGGTGTGCTGTTTGGTTGGAAGTTCTTCTCTTAAACAGACGATTTGGATTGTTAATGCAAGGTGAATTGGTTACCTGATATTTTGCAGTGATGATGGTGATCCATAATGTGAAAGTGAAGGCACCAGTACGCATGGCTGGAAGGATTGTTATTATTGGGGTGTTCGGTCTCAGATAATGCCCCTTATCACGGTCGCGTAGAGAAAGCTAAAAGCAAACAAGCCAACATAATTCGATAAGACTCTTTCCTAGACACGAATCTAAAGTGTTGGTCAGCAGAATTCTGGATCTAAATTTTTCATATCTAGCGTAAAGATGTGCAGTGGAAAACATCCATCTTCGTTTCCCCTGAAACGCCAATAACGTTTAAGAGGGATCATTTATTAGATAAGTTATTCATTGGATGATTTAGAGTACTCGTAGAGGCAATATTATCGTAAACAAAACACTTGGTAGAATTTCCTGGAAAAGTTCATATATTTTCGAAGTCTCACTTGTTCTTGTAATCTTCATGATAATTAATGAATTGAAAGATTTCTCGGGGAAAATCGTCAACTTAGAAATTCATGAATTGCACTGAGAAGCACCGGCTACAACTATAGGCAACTTTCTCATTGCTTTCACTTCTATGTTTAATAATTTTTTGTAGTAAATAGATAGTATAGAGCTTCCAGCTTTTCTCATTTTAGCTATTATAGGTCTGATCCTATTTAATTGCAGAGAGTTTGGGGTATAGATCTAAACTGTTTAATAAGTCTGATAATTATTCTGTGATGTAAAAATGTCTTGATCGCAACTTCTCCAACACACCAATAGGGATATACCTTAATGTCACTATGGAGGACAGAGTTGTGATGGGCAATGATTTCAGCACATCTATTTCGTGAATGTTGCTGTCATAGCAAGCCGTTTTCTGTTGATGTAGCTTGTGTATTTTGACTTGGCTTAACTGCTTGAGAGACATGGTAGATCGTTCTCGAGCAGTCTGCTTATCAGTGGAGTAGAGTAGCTTGCTTACCAGATATCTCATACAAAAATTCGTAATATGTTGAGCACTTGTGAAAATAAACCTGCTCCTCCATTTCCAGAGTGAAACAATAGGTCCGGAAGCTCTCTGCAGAAAATATGCTTCATCTTAGTAAAACTTAAGTAAAAAAGCAGAATCAAATTTTATTGATCTGTGAAATATTTTAATCCATAATAGGCAGCTATACAATCGGCGAGTTTTCCTTACTTTTGTGGAAATTTGTCAATCCTCATCTGGTGGCAAGCCTTATGTTTAGTAGAAATGCTATTTAAATTAGCTGTGTTGATATCATTCATTTCTGTTCAAATGTTTTGTAGGAACAGGAAGTGCTGCACAGATTTAATGAAGCAGTCAACTAACGGCTCCTGCTGAAACTCGATGCGACAATGGAGACCTCCATAGCAAGAATGAACATCTCTGTGGACAACCGATTCGGACAACTCGCGGCTTTGAACTCATCAAGGAGGTCGAGGCGGTAGTCGAATAAAAGCCTTCATAACAACCTCGTGTTCAGTTCATAGCCTAAGAAGCTATCTCTTTAAATTTCTAAAACCGTTGAATAACTATAAGAATAAATCTCCACATAGGATTTTTTTTGCGACCAGTTGGCTTCACCATTTGTGTAAAGATTGCCACCATTTGGTGATAAAACTGAACCTAAGAAATAGACTTGAAAATGCATAGAAGCAAATGCAAAATGCTAGAAGCAAGGTTAATGTATCCGTTGGCCAGTGGAATGTAGAATAGTGGTTAAGCGGATTTGCCCTCTGTCCATTAACTATGGATGAAATGCTCGACTTGCCTAGTTCGCCAGGTGGGACTTTTCTTTGTATATGCAACAGTAAGTCTTAAAATTTGTAATCAGACCTTTATATGGATATAAACAATGTTAATACAACGACATCGACGCTCCGGGATTATTACTGTACAGCTGTGTGAGGCTACAAACAATTAAGGTTGCAACACGACCCTTGTTCACTGAGTACATGAAGTGATGACATGAGCGAATTCGAGATATAATATAATTGCTATATAGTTAAAAGAATAGAAGGTTATGCAGTAAAAGACGTGTCTACTGAGTAGGAAAGACAAGTCGAATCCAACTACTATCCAAGCAAGATAACACATCAATTGTTTCCATGGGAAACGAAACGATATAAAGTTGCCCTAAAAATGTTGTAAGGGCTTGAATAAGAGGTTCAAGTATTGTAGAAAGTGGCAGGAAGTTATTTTAACTTAACGAACACAACGCATAACGAACAGTTTGCTTAACACTAACTTGTTGTGATAGCTTACAAGATAGATTGATGTAGACGAATAGATTGATGAACTGAAGTGTTACCACACAGTCGAGAGTAAGGCAAAGCAAAGCATCGGTTAGTGTATTGAATACCACGTGAGCTCCCGGTAACGGCAGTCACGAGCTCGAAGCCCAGCTGAGATTCTGAGTTTTGCTCATACCTTAGCATTATTCTAGTTATTGTTCACATTGTACCCTGTCACTAGAAAAGAATAAGCAGTAAGTAAACATTGAGTCATTACGGTGATCGCTTACGAATGAACAATCGGCAGAATTTCTTAAAACTTCTCCTTTTTTCCAGTTTTGCCATGGTACAGTGTTGATTTATCCCAAATATCTTCACCAGAAAAATGAGTTCCACTGGTTAGAATTTTGTTGGTTGACGAAAAGCCGAGAGACAGGCGAAACGAAGGACCCCGCATGGTGTGGTGGTGAACACGTTACTCCCCGGAAAGGACAATAACGCGTTCGCACCACACCGCAGATACCTGCTGTCCGGAGTTTTCTAAATATCTCAGCATCATTAAAGTTATATTTCGCAATATATACCTTACCGTTAAAAAGAGTAGGCAGTAGATAATAAGTTAAAAAAGTTGATGAAAAGTTCATAATCTTCGACCTGAATCTCTACAATTTCTTAGTGGTTCAGAGAAAAGATTTTGCATCGAGCATCAAAAACATCCATCTTTTGAAAAAGTGCAAAATTTACCTGGATCTTTGATCGGAGAAGACAATGGTTTGATCCGACTTAAGAAGTTAGCACTTCGTAGCAAACAAGGTGCAAAATCTTTTTAAGGATGCGATAGCTTTCCCCGCCACTCGTACCATTACGTTGTCCCTTTATCCAGTGGAGTTCTTAATAATTGGAAAATTATCTCCCATAAAAATGCAGCTAACGAGACTAAGCAAAACAGTTTCATTATCGTTTCGGTTACTTAGTCCAAAATTGCCTAAAAATTATTCTCCTTTATTTTCTTTTTTTTTTAAATCGGTGCATTCACCATCCGGTATCACGTGTTTTGCGGATCCCAGCTGTTCATACATTTGATTAGCTTCCTTCATTCAACCCCCACTAACCATGGAGGGTTCTTGGTGTTATGTGTTGGTTCGAGTGTTGCTCTAGGATTTTTTCTCGTATCATGCATACCGTTTAACATCGGTTGAATTGATTCTTTCTGAAATCCTAGGTCAGCTGTGTTTGGTCGTTCCAGAACTTCATTACACGCAGTCGACAGCATTTTTGCATTGATGAGACCACATAAGTTGGATACTTGGATGGCCCATCCTCACTGCTTGTGGGAGCACCAGAAAAATTTCAACTTTTTTGGAGTTTTGCTGGTTCACACAGTGTGGTCGGCTGGAGTTCCGAAAGCAGCCTCGCCAAAGTCTGCCCAGGCCGTCACTTTCACAGACAGCCTTTGTGGATCAGAGGGAGATTTGCCACCAGGCGACTTTAATACCAGGCCGGTGATGGGTCGAGTCATCGGTTTACTCCTAACTAGGCTTTCTGATGGAAGCGCCAGGCTCCTTCTCAGCCGATAAGGCCCTGCCGGGAAATGAATCTCCTCACTGTACATCGCAGCCTAACACCTAGGAACACTTCTCAGCCACGACGAAGCGATGAACCGTCGGCAGGAGTACCACATTAATTATAGACAAGCGTGGTATCGATTCCTCAAACGCACTGTTGGATTAAGGTTGCAGTTTTTCTATGAAGTATGGACTTGGGAAACTGTTGAGGTAATGGAACCACAATGATGTTGAGATATGTGCAAAACTCTGCATCAGAGGTGTTTGCGGCGGGGAACAAAAGTGTTATTACCCTTTCTGGTTGTTAACGCGTTTACCATCCCACTATGCAGGTTCTTCGTTTCGCCTGTCTCAGCTATTTCTTTCTCCGGAAAGGGTAATAGCGCTCCCGCAAAGGACAATAGCGCTTTCGTTCCCCACCGCAGACTCCTGCGGTCAGGAATTTTCCAAATATCTCGTCATAATTGTGGTTGTGTTTCCCATTATACCCTGCCATGAAGAATTATAGTAGGCAGCAAATAGAAAGTTACTGTTATGGTAATACCCAGTACAACAAATGCTAAATCAATCTCGTGAGGTTGAAGTAGGTGATATGCTCTAATCTCTAATTCTAATTCGCTGTTTTTCACAGCGAGCGGACAGAGGGTGTTACTATGCTACTTATGCACAATGGCCAACGTTTCCACGAATCTCACTCACAGACGCTCAGCCGGCTGTTGCAAATTAAGGGCACAGTAGCAACCTTGAGCATGACCATCATAAAAATAATGAATCATTATTGATCCCGAGGTTAGTGGAAAGTCTATCCTGGGAACTAGTGTTTGATCTCTCGTTCACGGCTCTGTGCGATGGCTTGCTTTAAGATCTCATCTTTGTTTCGTCATCGATGATGGTTGGAATTGATGAAAAGCCATAGAGTGGATGGGTTATACTTCATATTTTCCATGAATGCATTTCGAATCCGTCTGCTCATTTTTCTGAGACAAAGTTTGCTGCACGATTTTCAACTGACGAATGGGTTATCTATTACAGATGATTCGTTGGGCTTTGGCCGTTGAAAACTATTCTCTATCTTAACCTTTTTATTTACTGCCTATTCTTTTAACGGCAGTGTATTTGCGAAATATAACTACTATAATGCTGAGATATTTGCAAAACTCCGGACCGCAGGTGCATGCGGTGGGGAACGAACGCGCCATTGTCCCTTCCGGGGAGTAACGCGTTCACCACCACACCATGCTGGTCCTTTGTTTTGCCTGTCTCTCAGCTAGTCCTATC